TGTCGTAGATGCGCACCTTTCTGGGTTGACTCCTCGACTTCCTGCCCTCGTCAGGCCTTCTCAGTCCTCCGCGTGCTGGGGGTGCCGATGTAGCCCTGTCGGGCGTGCCCATGTGGAATCGTGGTGGCGGTGACTGTGGCACATGCGGTACCGTGGGTGTGATGTCATCGATGGGGATTCGCTGTGGGGTAGCCGGTGATGCGTCGTCCTCACTGCTCAAGTCCATCAGTAGTCGTGTCGTGGGTGCTCTCTTGAGTATTGGGATCGGCGTGCTGCTTGGGGGCATGGGAGTGACAGGCGGGAAACTGTTGGGGTATAAAGGGGTGGGTTGTTCTGTTGGGATTGGCGAGTCTGCTGCTGGCGTGGGCGTTCGAGGAGGTGCTGTGTCCGTGGGGACTGCTTCGTCGTCGTCGCCGCCGCCCTCTCGGCTCCCCCCGTCCTCTCGCGGGTCGGCGTCGTCTGACTCCTCGAGTGGGATATGCGCAGCATCGTCTGCAGGGCCTCCCTTCGGGTCCTCGCCGAACGTGAGAAGGTCCTCCAAGGGTGCTGGCGGTGGTGCTCCAGCTGGGCCTTGAGCATGTGGTGGCCCATCCACTGCATGCATCGGTGCGCAAGCCAGTTCCTGTATGCTGAAATCGCTGTCGAGTGTCGGGCTCGGAGTATCGTGGGACGGTCTCGATGAGGTATGCGACGAGTGCCCGAACTCGAGAGCCGCAAGCTCGTGCAAGTAAGCTGCGGTATCAGACTGCGGAGTCTGTTGTTCATGCTCGGGTAGAAAGTTCGAGAGGTGCCCCTCGAGTTGTTCGAGCTGGTGACGTTCCTCCTGCTGCGCCATAGCCTGGTCCCTGTTGTGGGTCTCCATGTCGTCCTGGATGTTGATGGCCATCTCGCCCAGGATGTCTATGTCGATCATCAGGGCTTCTTGGAGTTCTGCTGTGTGTCGCCCATGCTGCCGCTCGATGGCTTGGATCTGCTGCTGGTGCTGCATGGCGTACTGGTGCTGCAGGATGCCGTGTTGCTGCTGGATATTCTGCGTCTCGTGGCGGTACTGCTGTTTGATGGCCTGCGGCTCGAGATGTGCTGCCTCCTGCTTCTCCCTGGCGTGCAGCTCCTCGCGTCTAGCCTGCGCTGCGGCCTCCTCATGCCCTCTTTGCAGCATCTCGTCCCGTTGCCTCAGACATTGGGTCTGCGCTTGCTGCTCGCCGTACGGGCTCCAGGCACCTTGCCTGTTCCACTTGCCACGCCTGCGCGACCCTACCCGTCTCAGCGTGCTCCTGTGCAGTGTTCCCATGGCCTGGTTGGTACATTCTGTCAAGGGCATAAAAGCGCCCCTACCCTGGTTTACGAGGCGCTGTGCGCTGAAACTCCTGTGGGCTGACAGGGTAAACTCTGCGTGATGTGCCGCGTCCTGGCGGCTCTAGGCTTTGGGGGTTCCCAGGAGGTTTACAGACCACGCACTTGTAACCCAGGGTAGGTCGTTTTTTCATCCCTCAAATCTGAGCATTCTTTCACTTGCGGCAGCACTAGGTTGTTGTTCTCCTCGGTGCACACCGTGCTTTGCCCTGGAGTGCTCCTGCTCGGCGTGGCTCATTCGGTTCCTGGCGTGTTCTGCTTCTCCTCGCCCTAATGCATGCCTCTGTGCTTCTTGGGCTGAAGGCAGTTGCCCGAGCTTTACCTCCTCCATGCCTCGCTTTCTCCACCTGCTGCGTGAGGACGGCAGCCCTCTTCTCGTCCTCCTGGTGCAGCTCCTGCTGCAGCTTCAGGTTCTCCTGCTCCAGGTGGTCTCCCACGGCGTTCATCATGGCCAGCGCTCTTTCCTCCTGGGTTCATTTGCTGCCTCTTTCAGCTTCGTATGCATTGGCCTCCATTTCTTCCACCTTGGCGTTGAACCTCTTCGCGAGCATGTCCATCTCCCACTGCGGGGCCCCTTCCTGGATCTTTAGCTGCTTTTTGTACGTCTTCTCGGCGCTCCTGAGCTGCTGCCTCTCCTTTTCTGTGTCCTGCTCCTGCTTCTTGGAAGCCTCCTCCATGGCATGCTCCTTTCTGCTCCATTCGGCGGCTTGCTCTTGTTGCTTGTGCTGCGTCCTTTGGTGCAGATGGTCGAGGCGCTCGTTGATCTTTCTGAGAGCTTCCCTGACGTCCTCCTCATTATCCTTCGGCTTCTCGTACTCGCGGGTTGGTGTGGCTGCCTTGCCCGTGGGAGCTTGCCTCGATCTGGCCGCAGGGTATGGCGTTCGCCCTCTCCTGGGTACTGCGCTGGTGTCCTCATCCGAAGTCTCCGCCTTGATTCCAGCTTCTTTAGCCATCTGGTCCCTCGTCTCCTTCATCAGTGTTTTGTAGACCTTGATGGAGTTCGATGCTCTGGCTTCCTGATCTAGCATCTGGTTGAGATGCTTCTCCAGGCACGCGTGCTCCTCCTCTAGTCTTTCCAGGGTGCTTCTCAGCTGCTTTATCCTCTCCTTCGGTGGGGGGACGAAAGAGACGTTCGTTGCTGTGATGGCTGCCTCTTGTTCTAACTTTTCGGTATCAAGCCCAGCGCTTCTGGCCCCCACTACATTCTCAGCCAGTCGCGCCAGCCGCTGGCACTTCGTCTTATACCATATGGACATCATCTCCTCGTCGGTGGGGGGCGTACTCCAGCTCTCGTGCTCCATCGCGGTCGTAAACGGCACTGGGGTGATGCCGTTCAGCACGTTCTTCTGCCGTTGGGTGTACTGGAAATTGCCGACGTGCTCTGAACTGCGGGTCTCCTGCTGGTTCCTCTTCCTGCTCCTGCTGCCCGTTCTTTTGGCCGAGCCGCTCCTCCAAGGGGCCCTGTCCTTCCAGCTGTGCTGCTGCTCGTTCTTCCAGTCTCCAGGACGCCCTCCAACGGGTCCCTGTTGAGCACCGACCGGGGGGGCTGGGTGTGGGGTCCCTGCTCCCGACCACCTCTCCCCAGAGTCCCGAGCGGAGCTTGGGCGGGTGGACCCTGCTCCTGCCCACCTTTTCCCAGCTCTGCTCGTGCGGGGCTCGAGGTGTGTGGTCCCCGCTCCTGACCACCTTTCCTCCGAGCTCCCGCGGCGCTGCCAGCTTCCCTCCTGCGACACCTCGCCCTCCAGGTGCCGCTGCCTCTGCGCCCTGTGGTGGCCGTGGAGACGACTTGCTGCTGCCACCGCTCGCATCGGCAGTCGCTCCTGTCCTCTTTGGGCGCGTAGACGTCGATACCAAGACCCCTCCCGCCCTCTGCGAATGCAACCGGCTTTCGCGTTACCGGCTTTCAAATGCAACCGGCTTTCGCGTTACGACGGTGGTTCTTGAATCTTGCGGTCCGCTCCCATCTTCTCCCTCCCCCCCCAAACAAAAAATAAAAAGAAAAAAAGAGACTCCTCCCGCCCTCTGGGCGTCTTTGGAGCCTTGGGTCGCTTGTCGCCGCAGGCTTCTTCTCTTCGACGGCCCGCGCGCGCGAGCCACGGCTGGCGGGGCGACCGACGCTGCACGACGGTCCCGCTCCTCCTCGGCAGGATGGCTTCCTCCTCCCCCTCCCCCTCCTCCCCCTCCCCCTCCTCCTCCTCCTCCTCCTCCTCCTCCTCCTCCTCCTCCTCCTCCTCCTCCTCCTCCTCCTCCTCCTCCTCCTCCTCCTCCTCCTCCTCCCCCTCCCCCTCCTCCTCCTCCTCCTCCTCCCTCCCCTCTTCTTTTTCATGCGTCCTCCCCGTTCTGCGCCCGCACGAGGTCACGAGGAGGGCGGGATGATGATGATGGGGATGGGGGAGGGAAGAGATGGAGGATCGAGGAGGATCTTGATGGTGGTGAGCGCGAGGAGGCGAGGACGAGGACGTGAGGGGGAGGAAGATGATGAGGATGATGAAGATGAGGAGGATGATGGGGATGGGGAGGGGATGGGAGGGAGGGGGATGCTGAATCTGCTTATGATGGGATGGATGGGGATGACGACGACGACGATGATGGTTGTGATGATGCTGATGCTGCTGATGATGATGCTGATGATGATGATGCTGAGGATGATGCTGATGATATTGATATTGTTGTTGGTGGTGGTGCTGCTGATGAATACGATGCTGATCTGATGTTGACGCTGGTGCCACTGTGATTAAAGACGGTGACGGCGATTGTTATGATGATGATGATGACAATGGCAGTGGCGACGATGACGAAGGATGATGTTGATTCTGCTGATTGTGGCGATGATGATGACTATGCTGTTGATGGCGATGATCATTGTTACGACGACGATTATGATGACTGTAATGACGATGATGATGATGACGACGAGGATGATACTGATGACGATGACGATGACGATGACGACGATGATGATGATGCTGCTGCTGATGATGATGATGCTGATGATGATGATGATGATGGTGCTGCTGCTAATGATGCTGATGATGATGACGATCATGATGATGGTGATGATGATGATGCTTCTGATGATGATGATGACGATCATGATGACGGTGCTGATGATGTTGATGATGATGATGGTGATGATGATGATGATGATGATGATAATGATGATGCTGATGATGATGATGGTGATGATGATGATGATGATGTTGATGATGATGATGATGATGATGATGACGACGACGATGATGATGATGATGATGATGATGATGATGATGATGATGGTGGTGGTGGTGGTGGTGGTGATGATGATGATGATGATGATGATGATGATGATGATGCTGCTGCTGCTGCTGCTGCTGATGATGATGATGATGATGATGATGATGATGATGATGATGATGATGATGCTGATGATGGTGCTGCTGCTGCTGATGATGATGAGGAGGAGTAGGAGGAGGAGCAGGAGGATGAGGAGGAGGAGGAGGACGAGGAGGAGTTCGACGTCGACGACGATAATTACAAACATGGTCAGCATGAGGAGTATGATGGGTAGGAGGAGTAGGAGGAGTAGGAGGAGGGAGGGAGGAGGGATGAGGGACAAGAAGCAGGAGGTTACGCCGACGTGCCTGTCGTCCTCCGTCGAGGGGCGCCAGCCGGAATCCACAGCCCGCAGCCCTGCGAGCGGTGTGGCGGCTACAGGCCGCTCGTGGACAGGACGGGCGCGGAGGGGGACCGCAGCGGTTTGGGCGGGCGAGCATCGGCAGCGTGCAGAAGAGGGTGGAGCGAGGGGAGGGGTGGTTGTTCTGACAAGGCAGGGTGCCTCTTAGAAGCCTTCCTACGAAGCCTTTTCGAGAAGCCTTTCCACGAAGCCTTTCTACGAAGCCTTCTCTCTAGAAGCCTTCTCTCCAGAAGCCTTCTCGAGAAGCCTTTTACGAAGCCTTCTCGAGAAGCCTTTCTGCGTTGCCTTCTCGGGAAGTCTTTCCGCGGCGCCTTTTCGAGAAGCCTATCTGCGAAGCCTTCTCCAGAAGCCCCCAGGCCCTTCTGATCAGCCTCCCGCCTGCTCAGCACGCCGACCCCCTCGCACCACGCCCCGGGGCGCGTCGCCAAGAACAGCCCAGGCCGCATAGATGTTGTCGCAGATGCTGTGCTGGTTCTCGGAGGTTTTCGGGCCCCAGCATGTCTTTCAGCAGCCGCGCCTCGCCCGTGGGTGTCTGCAACCGTCCCGAGTGGCCCTCCCTGCCCCGGCCTGAGACCCCTCCAAATCACCGCCGTCAGAATCATCCCGGCCCCTACTGGGACAGGGTGAAGTGCTGGAGGGTTCCAAAGGAGGTTTTTGGGGAGGCCTCGGAACCTCGTCAAAATAAAGGGGTGCGCTGCCCCTGGGGGACCCCTCCTGGAACCCCCCTCCCCCCAAACCCCCTTTGGAACCCTCGGGAAGTGGCTCTTCCAGCGTGCCGGCTCTATGCGGGGAGGGGTGCTGCGAGATCCGAAGGAGCAGGAGCGGAAGGCGAGCGCACGCGCGTGCATTCATCCATCGTTGGTCTCGAAAGTGTACGCCTGGCGCGCTCGCTCGTAAAACGCGGCTGGCCTCGCGGATTGGGGGGCCGTACTCATGTACGTGGCTGGGCGCGTATTTCTTGTGTTGGCTTTTTAGGTGAAGTGACTTTTCCAGCGTGCTGGCTCTGGGTGTGGATATGGATGCTGTGAGACTCGAGGGAGACGACGGCACCCGTGCCCACCCGGGGCGGTAAGTACTCAAGAGTTTCTTAATGGGCGTCGGGGGGGGCGCCACCCCCGCCGACAGCCCCACATCGACCCCCCTCGCGGGCAGCCACCGCGCGCCGAAGGCGCTCCGACCCCCGTCGCGGCGCGACGACGAGGCGAGGTTGACCCCCGTCGGGGGGGTACCCCCCCACGCTTATTAAGAAACCCAGGCTGGGTGGAGTGACTCTTCCAGCGTGCCGGCTCTGGGTGGGGATATGGGTGCTGCGAGACTCGAGGGAGACGACGGCACCCGTGCCCACCCGGGGCGGTAAGTGGGCCCGACAGAGGAGCCAAGGCTCCCCGGCGGGAGTGTCTAGGCCTCCCAGATGGGGCCGGAGTAAACGGGGTCGGATGATTGCGCCGCATCGTCGATGCGGCTCGATGCGGAGCCCGATTTTCTCCACGCTGGCGTCGCCGATGCGTCGCCGACGTCGCCGATGCATCGCCGATACATCGGCGATGCATTGACGATGCGGCGCGATCCTTCGACCCCATTTACTCGGACCCCACCTGGGAGGCCTCTAGAGTGGGAACGGTTCTTGTGTGTCCTGGTTGAGGGTCACCTCCTCCAGGAGGAGATCCTCATCATCGTCTCCATCCTACGGACCTGGGGTGGCTCCTTCCCAGAGACCCGACGCTCCAAACAGATAGGAGTAGGTGTTTTTTGGCCATTTCCGGCGCTGGGACCCCGGGGGCGTCAAAGAACGACACAGGATGAAAAACCGGGCCCATGGAAGTGGTCTGGACCTCTGGGGCCCACGCATCCAACAAAATTAGACCTCCGTGGCCCCATCCCCCCGAACGCACGTCCAGACAGAAGGCCCCAGACCGTTTCAGAAGAAGCCGCACCTCGGGCCCAGGGCTGCGCAGGGCAGCTGCCCGCGCGGCACGCGCAGCCGCGAGGAGCCCGCACGAGTGCACGGGTGTGCTGGCGCCGAGTGCTCCCGAAACCCGCGTGCGCTGGCGGATTGTCTCCCAGGCGCATCCTGAAGCTCTGCACGATCTGAGGGCTCCCTGGCCGTCGCGCGGCCCTCCTTCTCCTCGCCCCTCGCCCGCCTGTGCCCCCGTGCCTCCATCCGCAGCTGATGCGCCCCGCCGTATGATTACTCGACCGCCTGTTGGCCCCAGAGCGCCGCCGACCGAACATTGCAGGCGGAACCAGGTCGTGGGGGGTCCGGGCGGTGAGGGGCCGACGGCCCACCAGCACCAGAAACTGCGGCGCAGAGTCTCGGAGCCCAGGTGCGCACCACCGCTGGGCCCTTGCAGCCCTGCTTCGGGCGCGGCGGACCCGGTCGGTCTACGGCCGCCTGGCCTGGCAGGGAGGGTGTGTGCACCATCTTTGGGCACAAGCTGGGCTTGAGCTGGCCCGGTGGTGGTGGCGTGGACGGTCCTGCGGCAGGTTTGCCTGCGGCAGGTTTGCTGTGGACATTGCGGGAGTCCTCTGCAGCCGCCCCGGCCCAAGCCCGGGGGTGGGTGGGGGGTGTGGCGGACGCGCCCGGCCACGCGCGCGGAGGAGGAAGGGAGGGAGGGAGGGGGGAGGGAGGGGGGGAGGGAGGGAAGGGGGGAGGGAGCGAGGGGAGGAGTAGGAGGGAGGAGGAGGAGGTGGAGGAGGAGGAGGAAGAGAGAGGAGGAGGAGGCGGAGGAGGAGGAGGAGGAGGAGGAGGAGAGAGGAGGAGGAGGAGGAGGAGTGGAGAGGAGGGGAGGGGGAGGGGAGGAGGAGGAGGAGGAGGAAAGGGAGAATGAGGAAAAAGAAGAGGAGGACAGGAGGAGGAGGAGGAGGAAGAGCAGGAGTAGGAGGAGGAGGATGATGATGAGAAGGATGATGATGATGATAATGACGATTCTGATGATGATGCTGATTCTGATGATGATGCTGATGACGATGCTGCTGATGATGCTGATGATGATGCTACTGATGCTGATGATGCTGCTGATGCTGATGATGATGATGACGAGGAGGAGGAGGAAGAGGAATCGGAGGATGAGGAGGAGGAGGAAGAGGAGGATAAGGAGGATAAGGAGGATACTGATGATGATGATGATGATGATGCTGATGCTGATGATGATGATGATGCTGATGCTGATGATGATGATGATGATGATGATGATGATGAGAAGGATGGTGATGATGATGACGAGGAGGAGGAGGAGGAGGAGGGGGAGGAGGAGGAGGAGGAGGAGGAGGCAGAGCAGAAACAACACGATCATAATATTACGCGTAATAGCCATCGTACGAAAAAACGAGACGAATACTAGTATGAACATCAATACAACGAATACTACTACCACTACTACCACTACTACTACTGCTGCTACTACTACTACTACTACTACTTGTATTACTGCTACTACCTACTACTACGACTACTACTACTACTACTACTACTACTACTACTACTACTACTACTACCACTATTACTACTACTACTACTACTACTACCACCACCTACTACTACTACTACTTACTACTACTACCTGCTGCTGCTGCTACTACTACTACTACTACAACTACTACCATTACTTACTACTACTACTCCTACAACTACTACTACTACTACTACTACTACTACTACTACTACTACTACTACTACTACTACTACTACTACTACTACTACTACTACTACTACTACTACTACTACTACTACTACTACTGCTACTACTACTACTACTACACACTACTACTACTACTACTACTTCTACTACTACTACTACTACTACTACTACTACTACTACTACTACTACTACTACTACTACTACTACTACTACTACTACTACTACTACTACTACTACTACTACTACTACTACTACTACTACTACTAGTAATAGTACGAATGCTCCGCATGAGAAGCAGGCGAATCACACGCCGAGTAGTATTACCATTAGTAGCACTAATCATTTCATCACAAATAGCATACCCGTACTAATACTACTTATTGTACCAATACTAGAAATAACCATGATACGGATACGAAGGACTCTACTACTCAGCCGGAGAGCAATATCATTTATACCGGCAAAAATACGTATACTAGAATCGTAACACACAAACAGGAAGACGGGTAATAGTAAGACAGCTGAATATACCGATAATGCGAATTCTATTACTGATAGTAGCACTAAGACAAGGAGGACGAGGAGGACGAGGAGGAGGAGGAGAATGAGGAGGATGAGGAGGAGGAGGAAGAGAAGGAGGAGGAGCAGGAGGAGGAGGAGGATGACGGTAAGGATGAGGAGGAGGAGCAGAAGGAGAAGGAAGAGGAGGAGGAGGATGAGGAGGAAGAAATGGAGGAGGAGGAGGAGGAGCAGGAATAGGAGGAGGAGGAGAAGGGGGAGGAGGAGGAGGAGGCGGAGGAGGAGGAGGAGGACCAGGAGCATGAGGAGGAGGAGGAGGAGGGGGAGGAGGAGGAGACGGTGGAGGAGGAGGAGGATGAGGATGATGATGAGGAGGAGGAGGAGGAATGAGAGTTGGAGAAGGAGGCTGGGGAGGAGGATGAGGATGAGGATAAGTATGATATTGAAAATGATGATGATGATCCTGATGATGATGATGATGCTGATGCTGCTGATGATGATGCTGCTGATGCTGTTGCTGATAATGATGCTGATGATTATGATGCTGATGATGAGGATGCTGATGATGATGATGGTGCTGAGGATGCTGATGATGCTGTTGGTGGTGGTGTTGGTGCTGCTGCTGATGATGCTGCTGATGATTCTGATGATGATGATGACGATGACGATGATGATGATGACGATGATGATGATGCTGATGATGATGTTGATGATGGTGCTGATGATGATGGCCATGATGATGATACTTATGCTGCTGCTGATGCTGCTGATGTTGATGATGATGATGCTGCTGAGGATGATGATGCTGATGATGACGATACTGATGATGATGATGCTGCTGCTTATGATGATGGTGCTGATTAGGATGATGATGACGATGATGATGATGCTTCTGATGATGATGATAATGATGATGCTGATGATGATGATGACGATGATGAGGATGACGATGATGCTGATGATGGTGATGATGATGATAATGATGAGACTGATGATGCTGATGCTGATGCTGATGCTGATGATGCAGA